CCTATTATCATTATTAGGGTAACGGAGAGAGAAACACAAGAGAGAGAATACTTTGAGTGATTAAGTTCTTCATTGTAATCTTTGTAATCTTTGCCAGTTTATAGTGAAATCATTCGATCTCGGTGCCCGTGGACGTAGCTATCACATCGATAGTGAACCACGTAAATTCTTGGTGTTGTTCTTATTGTTTGCATTGAATTTCTTTATTGTTTTCTTGTTTGTTTACGACCTTTGCTTCCGCTGTCGCACAACAATTGGTATCAAGAGCTCAGGTTCAATCCTTGGAGAGTTTCTTGAAGATAACAATGGCAGGAGATTCAACAATAAGAATTGAGAAGTTTACCGGGAAAAATAGTTTCGGGCTATGGCAAATTAAGATGAAGGCTCTGTTAAAACAACAGCAGATATGGCGTCCGTTGGCTCCAAAGAGTACTACTTCGGAGTCAGAAGATGGACCGACTGACCCGCAGTTAGAAGTTATGGAAGAGAAGGCACACTCTACCATATTACTTAGTCTTGATGATCAAATCATCACGGAGGTGGCTGATCAGGAAACGGCGGCTGGATTGTGGCTGAAGCTGGAGTCATTGTATATGACTAAGTCGTTGACCAACAAATTATTACTGAAACAGCGGTTGTTTAGCCTCCGGATGCAGTCAGGTACTTCCTTACGGGAACATCTAGAAAAACTTAACTCTATTTTGCTTGATTTACGTAATTTAGATGTTAAAATTGATGATGAGGATGCTGCGTTGATTTTACTTGTATCTCTACCGTCTAGCTTTGAGAATTTTGTAGAGTCTTTTGTTGTTGGTAAGGATTCTATAACCTTAGAAGAAGTGAAGGCAGCACTTCATACTAGGGAACTCAGAATGAAAGCTACGAGTGATAATGGGGATAATGGTAGTGGGTTGTTTGTTAAGTCCGGAAAGTCTAAAAAGAATAAGGGGTTTAACAAGGGGAACAATGCTGGGTCGGGTGCTGGAAACGGCAAGGATGGATCTAGTAAAACTACTACTAAAACATGTTATTACTGTAAAGAACCGGGTCACTTTAGGAATAATTGTCCGGTGAGGAAAAACAAGTCCCAGGCTGCTGTAGTTGAAGAGAAACCGAATGAGAGCTATAATTCAGAGGAAGATTTAGCATTAGTCAGTTCTGCTAGGTCTGATGATTTATCTGATAACTGGGTTCTAGATTCGGGGTGTTCGTTCCATATGTGTCCACGTCGAGATTGGTTTGATACATATGAACCTCGCAATGGGGATATGGTTATAGTCGGTAACAATGCTCCATGTAAGGTCACAGGTATTGGTTCCATGAGGTTGAGGACTGTTGATGGGCGGAGGTTAACTTTGACTAATGTACGGCATGTTCCTGCTTTAGGAAAGAATCTGATTTCATTGGGTACCCTGGATGACTTGGGGTACAATGGTGTGTTTTCAGATGGGGAGTTGTGTATTTTCAGAGGTTCTGAGTTGGTACTTAAGGGTATCAAAAGGAACACCCTCTATGTTTTTGAGGGTGTTACACTGCCTAGTTCTGCGGTTTGCGCATCTGTATCTCACCAGGAGATGACTAAGATTTGGCACATGAGGCTTGGTCATATGGGGGAGAAGGGGATGCAGCTATTGTCCAAGAGGGGTCTTCTATCCGGGGTCAAGGTTGCCAACCTTGAATTTTGTGAGCATTGTGTGTTTGGTAAGAAACACAGGTCAAAGTTCAGCAAGGGTGCTCACATTACTGATGCAGTGCTCGATTACATCCATTCAGATTGCTGGGGTCCATCTAGAGTTGAAGGTATGGGAGGTTACCACTATTTTGTGTCATTTGTTGATGACAAGTCCCGATACACATGGCTTAGGTTGCTTAAGTCAAAGGATGAGGCCTTCAAAGTTTTCAAGCAATGGAAAGCTTTGGTGGAAAATCGACAAGGAAGGAAGATCAAGAAGCTACGAACGGACAATGGGCTAGAGTTTTGCAAAGACGAGTTTAATCAGTTCTGTGCAGATGAGGGTATAGGTCGGCATCATACTGTCAGGAAGACACCACAGCAGAACGGTGTAGCAGAACGGGTTAATCAGACACTGCTAGAGAGAGTTCGATGCATGCTCTCTAATGCAGGGCTTGGGAGGAGGTACTGGAGTGAAGCTGTGTTAACAGCTTGTTATGTCATTAATAGGGGTCCTCATTCTGGAATTGATTCCAAGATTCCGTTTGAGATCTGGAGTGGTAAGTTGCCTAATTTTTCGAATTTGAAGATTTTTGGTTGTGTTGCTTATTATCATGTTATTGAGGGTAAGCTGGATCCACGAGCCAAGAAGGGGTGTTTTGTTGGGTACGGGGATGGTGTGAAGGGGTTTAGAATTTTTTCACCTTCGGAGGGTCGGGTCATTCTTAGTAGGGATGTTACTTTCGATGAAAACACCATGTATTCAATTAAAAATGCAGAGATTTCAGATTTGAGAAGGGAAGGAGACAATTTATTACAGACAGATGGGGTACTTGAGGTACATCAGTCTACCATTGCTGATTTACCTCGGGTACAATATATTGATGATGATGCTGATGTTCCAGTGCCGGGTACTCCTGAACCTGAGATTACTCCTACTCATTCTAACTCTGGGGATGAGGTGGAGCAATCTAATCAGGGGTCATCTAGTCAACCTGACACCATTCTTGAGATGCCTAAACGAGTTATCAAGAAGCCTGTTAGATTGATTGAAGAGATGGAGGGAAGAAATTGCTGTGTTGATGCGATGACAGGTTATGCATTGAGTGTAGCTGATGATGTAGAGTCATTTGAACCTGCCACATATAAACAAGCAATTAGTTGTAGTGAGTCTGCGCAATGGCTTGCCGCAATGGGTGAAGAGATGCAGTCTCTTTACAAGAACAGAGTGTGGGAACTGGTAAAGGTACCGGAAGGGAGGAAGCTTGTGGGTTGTAAATGGATTTACAAGAAGAAAGAAGGGTTGTCGGAAACTGAGCAAATACGTTTTAAGGCTAGGCTAGTTGCTAAGGGGTTCAGTCAGGTAGAAGGGGTTGATTTTGTTGAGATATTCTCACCTGTGGTTCGACATACTTCTATCCGTGTGTTATTGTCAATTGTAGCACATTTTGATCTTGAGCTGGAGCAGTTGGATGTTAAAACGGCTTTCCTTCATGGCGATTTGGAGGAGGAGATTCTGATGAAGCAGCCCGAAGGATTCGAAGTTCCTGGAAAGGAACACTATGCCTGCAGATTGCTAAAGTCATTGTATGGACTTAAGCAATCCCCCCGACAGTGGTACAAAAGGTTTGATTCTTTTATGGTTTCACAAGGTTTTGACAGGAATTCATATGATTGCTGTGTGTATCATAGTAAGCTGGATAATGGTTCCATGATTTATCTTTTGTTATATGTTGATGACATGTTGGTTGCCACAAAGAATAAATCTGATATTGCTAGATTAAAGGAGATGCTTAACTCGGAGTTTGACATGAAAGACTTGGGTGCAGCTAGGAAGATTTTGGGTATGGAGATCTACAGGGATCGGGCTAGAGGTAAGCTTTTCTTGACTCAGAAAAGCTACATTGAAAAGATTTTGTCTCGTTTTGGGATGGAAAAATCGAAGCCTATAAGTACGCCAACTACTGTTAGTTGTAAGTTGTCTTTGTCTATGTCACCTCAATCAGAGGAGGAGTTGTCTTATATGTCTAGAGTTCCATATGCAAATGCGGTTGGTTGTTTGATGTATGCTATGGTCTGTACTAGGCCGGATATTGCGCATGCCGTTAGTGTTGTAAGCAGGTTTATGGCTCGACCTGGGAGGGAACACTGGCAAGGGGTGAAAAGGATTTTTCGCTACCTGAGAGGGACAGCTGATATTGGTCTTGTGTACGGGAATGATAAGGAATGCTTGGTCACTGGGTACAGTGATTCTGATTATGCAGCTGATGTGGATACCAGGAGGTCTGTGACTGGTTATGTGTTCACTTTGGGTGGTTCTGTGGTTAGTTGGAAGTCTACATTGCAGTCATCAGTTACGTTGTCAACTACTGAAGCTGAGTATATGGCTTTAACTTCTGCAGCTAAGGAGTCTATTTGGCTCAAAGGCCTAGTAGGTGAACTGGGTATTGCACAGGATTTTGCTACAGTGTATTGTGATAGTCTAAGTGCGATTTGCTTAGCTAAAGATCAAGTACACCATGATCGGACGAAGCACATTGATGTCAGGTATCATTTCTTACGTACTGACAAGAGGATTAAGGTGAAGAAGATTGGGACTGCTGACAACCCGGCTGATTTCTTCACTAAGCCTGTTCCGTTTAGCAAGTTTAAACATTGCTTAGACTTGTTAAATATTGATTACTACGTGATGTAGTAGGCCCTGAGGGGCGAAGTTGGGGAGCTCCTGGTGTAGGTGTGTTGGCCTTAAGGTGGAGCTTGCCCGGGGCTTGTGATGCAGGTGGAGCATTATGAGTTGTTATACTTGGAGACGAGTATGTGATGGGTCTTGGTTGAAGACTTATCGGGATGTATGGCTTATGCATGAGTCTTGCATCGGGTTTGGCTTGAGATGTTTTTCACTATGTCTTGATGGGGTCGTTTGCTGACTACGAGTTCTCGTCAAGGTGGAGATTGTTGATAAGTATTAGGTGACTCGTACTTCGTTGCTTTGTCCGCCCGATCGGGCGGACATTACCCGGTCTGACCGGGCGGAAGAAGAAGAGGTGCCTGGCAAATTCGTTGAAGAAGCTGCTCTCGCGCGCCCGACCGGGCGAGCTTTCGCCCGACCGGGCGAGCTTTCGCCCGACCGGGCGAGCCTTCGCCCGATCGGGCGGACATTGCCCGATCGGGCCGGGCGGAAGGGGTTTTTTGGAGTACTTCGGTTGTTGGAAAAGACGTGTTCTCGCGCCCGATCGGGCGGGCCTTCGCCCGACCGGGCGATCTGGGTTTTTTCAGCGATTACGAATTTAATATTTATCATATTGTGATATTGTAACCTAAGTATATCTTAATTAGGAATCACTACTATATAAACTTCCTATTATCATTATTAGGGTAACGGAGAGAGAAACACAAGAGAGAGAATACTTTGAGTGATTAAGTTCTTCATTGTAATCTTTGTAATCTTTGCCAGTTTATAGTGAAATCATTCGATCTCGGTGCCCGTGGACGTAGCTATCACATCGATAGTGAACCACGTAAATTCTTGGTGTTGTTCTTATTGTTTGCATTGAATTTCTTTATTGTTTTCTTGTTTGTTTACGACCTTTGCTTCCGCTGTCGCACAACAGTGGAAGAGCTTTGCATGGCCATTTCCATAACGCAAAAGACATGGAGATTATAGTCATCATATTTAGATACGTACGACCACCCTGGAATCTTCTTTTTTGCACCTGTTATATTAGGTCGTGTTAAATTCTATTCATCTCCATATATACTTTAAAAATATCTAAATTTTTAAAAACAATCATTTAACTACAAATGGTGTATTTAAAAAGAGAGGAAGCATAGTAAAGTTTTCCCTTTGTTCTTTCTCCTCTCTATTTTTTTTTCATCTTAATCAAACAAAGAAGTAAAATGACATGGAAGGTGCCGGAGAAAGCGATAGATAACTAAAAAGTCTAGAATATAATCTACAAATAGTTAAGTATAAAATGAACTAGTCAACATTTGTAAGTTTAAAAGAAATTGTCTATTTTATTTATTTATTTTTTTTTAAAGACTTTTATAGTGATCCTGTTTTCTAGTTCTAGGCTTCTAGCAAAATATCACAAGAACATACAATTAAGTTACGTACTACATACTCCATAATATATTAAATATACCCTTTTGTGCTACTAATTTAACCTGTTATACCTCCATGGATCCGCCTATGATTATATACTTACCTTTTTGTGCAACTAATTTAAATTATTCGTCGATACAAATATATATATCTAGTATATAAATTGAACATATATGTACAACTAACCAATAAAAAGAAGTAGCACAGTAATAGTCAAAGGGGGAAAGAGTAGTGTACTAACCGTTGAGCAGCTTCCTTTTACACCAAGCACAACTAGATGGTCCTTGCTTCTCAAACCAAAAAGTGACATCTCCAATGCTAATTTTACTCTCTAGCTTAGCACATCTAGGGTGGAAATCCCAACCCGTCTTAGAACAATGATAAACGAACCCCTTAACCGCCATCCCACACGCGTCACAGCTCCTACACTTGGTGCAATCAACCCTAGTGCAATTAGGCCCGGGGAGGGGTCGTTCGAGAAATCGATATTTATGTTCTTGAATTTTTAGCTTAGGGGGTGCAAACATGCATTCTTGGTGTAAGTCATAGTTACAACCTTCACATCTGTATCTTAGCCCCATGCCTTCCATTTTGCACCCGTCACATGTGTATGCACCTTGGCGATTGACCGCCACGAGTGGATGCTCTCGGTGACTTGGATGATGAGTCATTTTATTTGTTACTCGGTTCTGACTCAAAACTTAATCCTATTAGGGTAACACATATAAAAACTAAGATTAGTAACGTATTATATTGATCATCTCATACTCATAATCAAGAAAAAAGGGACAACTTTTAAGTATGTACGTATAATATATATACTAGCTAGATTAAAATTGAAAAGATATAAAGGACAAGATTAATACCTTTTGTAATAGAGAGTTTGTATCTTCAATATATACCTTTTTGAAATAATGAATTGACGATACTTTCATGGATGTCTTAATGTAACTATATATAGAAACTTTTTAGTGGTTTAATTAAACACTAAGATATAAAAAGTACATTAATTAAATTATATGTAGGTCTGGTTTATAATTTCCCTTAAGGTTCACCGACATTTACTTGAAATTTCCCAAGGACAAAAGTCAAATACGTGCATGCAATGAGAACAAATGTCATTTGAGATGTTGATAGATAGTAAATAGTATGTCAGTATGACGATCGATCTTATTAAACATATAATTATCATCCAAATTTTATCATTTGTTTAAATTAACTTTGGTTAATGGAAGATATGACAGGGAAGTTACAAGGTTTTGAATTGATCAAAGAAGTTGATGAAATGTTGTTTTCAAAGAGGGGTTTAACTATGTGATATCTCTTTGTTAGATAGCTACTACAACTAATTTTGTAAATAAATAAATAAATAAATTTACATTGATGTATTATTTTTTTGAACACATACAACATACTCCGCGCATACATATTATACTACATCTGACTCAATTCAATCCGATCCATATGTTAATTTACAATTTTTTTCTTTATAAGCTAATTAAGTAACTAAGCTCCCTTTATACCGTTCCCTTAAAACTTTAAAAGTGATTTGAATTAATTGGGTACGGAGTTATGGACGGTTTAGACCCTATCCTATAAATTTCCTATAACTTTAATTTATACAACATTTAATGTTGTGATTATTACGAAATAGAAGGAGTACTAAAATTACTGTGCCTACCTATATAATGCAATAATATAAATAAGGGAGAAAGTATTATAGATTCTACATATATACTTGAATTAATGATTGATGAGCACTGTATTTTTCTATGGTCATCTATTTTCCATTCACGTGACTATGTATGTACGGATGTGTACATTGCGTATGTGATGCTTAATTATGAGTATTTGGGGTGTAGGTTTAGAATTTGCTTAATTATGAGTATTTGTGTGTGTGAAAGTTGTCTACCTTTCCTTTTGTAAATAATCCTCACAGTAGCAGAAGCTGCAATTTCATACAGTACAAAAATGTTGACTGAGTGTATATGTAGTGTATACTCCTCCTGTTGCACTCCGGCCCTTGTTTATATACTTTTGCAGTTTTGTTATTTCAAATTAACTAGTTTTGTACTCGTGCGATACTTGGATTATTTATTGAGTTTAAAAATAAACATTTTATGTTATTTGAATTTTCTACTCATGGATTAATAACCACCTGGATTAAGTTGTGATTGTTTTACAACCCTAGTTTCACAACTTTAGGCAACATGATCACAATTAAAAAGAACTAACACGTAATTGTTTCGGTACCTCTATATAGGCGGTCGGCCGGTCGCACACCTAACAAAAATAATACTTAACTAGACCTCATAATTATGTACTAGGGCAAGTTAGGGTCGATCCCACAAAGAGAAGGTTGTTTAACAATCAACGATTACTAATGACAAAACTAAATAAGAGATAAAACGATAGATTAAATAACTATGACTACTCAAATATCAAACATAAATAAAAGAAATAATTAAAACATCTAGAATTAAGTATCACCACTAGTATAATAAATATAAGACAAATTCTTACCCCAACTAATTAATTATATGTTCACAAAACTACCAAAGAATTGATCATTAACGGAAGGATATTTGAATTCTATTTTAAATTGGATCATGCATCACCGACTCATAACGGCTACCTAAATCAAGTATCAACCAGAAAATCTATCTTCTTCGATCCTCTATATATACTAGACCGCTTGTATCAGAAATATAATTAGATCTAAAACCCTAGCTTTAAAATTAGTCTCTAATTGCTCATCGCCATGCGTCCGTACAAGGAAAAGATGCTTACGTCCAATAAACGGAAATTGTCCAAAAAACGAAAACTAAACAACGATGATTATAGTGGTGAAGTGGACAGATTAAGCTCACTTCCTGATAGTCTTTTGATCACCATACTCTCTCTTGTTGATCCAATCAATTCTGCGGCTGCAACCTCCGTGTTATCCCACCGTTGGCGCCATCTCTGGACCCAAATCACCCACGTCTCCTTAGGACCGTGGACGAGTTGGAAATACATCCATAATTTACGGGATTTCAACAACGTCGTCAATCATATTCTCTTCCAACTCACCTCCTCGAAACTCTACACCTTTTGCCTTCACCTCCCGTCCCTTGACAACCTTAATAATAAAGATCAAGAATTTGACGAGTTCAACTCCGGGGTAAGGGACTGCATTGTTAGTGTTGCTCCCTGGATTCAGCTTGTCTCCCGTCGTAACCCGGAGGTAATCACCGTGACTTTCAATGACTCGTATTCTTTTCGATTTCTTGAGATGCCACCTGTACCGGCTTCTTTGCTTCAAACTCAGTCACTTGTTACACTGGATTTAATTGCACATATTGAGCTCACCTTTCCTAAGGATGATCTCCGTGTTAATCTTCCTAATTTGAAGAAGCTTTGTATGAATTTATACGACTCACAACGTCGTGTTATGGATACTCTTTTTAGGTCTTGCCCTTTACTAGAGCATTTATTATTGTATCTCCATTTAAAGCAACCTGATCACCTTATTCATATATCCGCCCCTAACTTGAAGGATTTGAAAATCAATATGGAAGAATCGCCGTTGCTATCTATTCACACCAAGTTTGTGGTTAATACTCCTAAACTAGAACATTTCAAGGTCAAGGGACTTCTAGCGGTTTATGACTTTGTCACCAATCCAACCTATTTACGACTAGTCAAAATGACCTTGCAAAGAAGGAATGCAATTGATCGTGATTTTGTTAACGCGAGACAAGGTCTATTTCGAGGGATTTGTTGTGTTCGAAACATAAAATTAGTAGATTATTATCGTAGTACAATAATACGTCTGTTAGATTTTGTTGCTGGTTTAAACGGCCTGCCAAGTTATCACAATCTGGTTTATCTCCGTTTTCACTGTAGCGAATCTGACTACGATTTCAACGTAATCCACAATAATTGGAGACCACAGTTTCCCAGTTGTTGGTCGGCTAATCTGAAAAGAATAGATGTCTCGGTTAAGATAAGGAATAACAGGGTAGAGATGAATTTGCTTAGTAACATTTTAAGTAGTGCAACTGCTTTGGAACAGCTTCTAGTTTCCCCTCCCAAAGTCAAACCAAGTGCAAGGCCAAATCAACTATGGAATGAATACACTTTTTGTAGGGAGCTTTTCATGCGTCCAAGGAGTTCGCCGACTAGCAAGATTCACTTTACTGGTAAAATGATGACGGCTTCATGTAACGATTTTAGTTATGATAAAGATGAGCTAACATGTAAGATACTCAAACAAAATATACGTCCGTACAATCGGTGATATGATTTTATTATATGTATTAACCTTCAAATTAATGATTCTTTTGTTGTCGTAACTTGGGGTTTTAAGTTTCCTCCAATTTGTTAATATTATTAGCATACGCAGAACTAATTAAAAATAAAATGATTGCTTTTTTTTTTTTTCCTAGAATATATTTTGAGTTTTGTTTTCAATTCTTAGTAAAATTATAAAATAAAATTAAGGATCAATGATGAATGATACCTGAAGGAATTATATTCCGTGCGTTTTGCATCCATATCACTCTAGGAAACAGAATATATACATTAGACTAAGATAATTATTTACATAATTATCTTAACAATACCAGCCACACTTATTTTTAATTAATTAAGAAACTTCACTTCTCTTTATTATTGCTATATACCGTGGCTAACATCTTATTTGCCATACATTATGCCGTGTCTAATAGCTTATTTGCCACAAATTATACCGTCGTTAATAAATTTTGTTGCCACAAATATTACCATCGCTAATATTACCATAGCTAATTACCATCGCTGATAAAGCTTGCTTGCCACAAATAATATCGTGACAGATAGCATATATTTCAACAAATGGGTCACATTTGATATTGTTGAGACAAATAGCTATATTTCCTAACACAATAAATTTGGAGAAATTTATTTTTCAATTGATGTTTAATATCCACACATACAAAAAACCTTGAAAATAATATGGCTCAATGTCTCATCACTGTTCTCACACACACACCAAAATTAAAATTTAAAATAAAAATAAAAATAAAAAAACAGATTCTTTCGCAAAAGAAAAATATATATAATTTAGTAAAATACAATAACCAATCTCATCAAAAAAACACACACACACACACAAATCATTTTGTAAACTAAGTCTTTTTTTCCCTACACCTTGCAGATAATTGAATATATAAAACGAACTGTGGGAGGCAAAGTAATACAGGTATACTATCCCTGTCCCTTAATAGTTTCAAATTTTCCTTCATTGAGTAAAGCTCCCCTCTAAGATAGCTCACTGATGAGTCCACTTTCTCTCCTGAGAGTCCTACTTGGATTCTGTACCCACAACCGTGGATGTGTCGTGTCGACATTAGTACAACGAGGTTGTGGGCCCAAGTCAGAGCATTAGAGACATATAACACACCAAATCAAGACAATCCACTGATTCAAAACTTACATAATATAATTTTACTCTTCTACTTAGTGAGAACTTTCAGAATAAAACTTTCACTTTTTGGTAACTTGGAACTTTGTTCAATTATCAATCAAACGTCTATTGTTGAGTGAGTGAGTCTATAACAGTTAGCTATCTGGGTCTATTCACAATTTAGCCATGTAAGCACCAATATACCTCTATAGAAATATTTACAGAAACCACAACTCCAATGGAACTCAATTCACTCGAGTCTCATAAAAGAAACAAAATTAATGTGCAATAATCATGTCGATGTCTAGGGCACACAGCAGATTATTGTCAAGTCAAAGCAAAAAAGATGACTATACTGATATTGGAGAAGAGACATTTATACTTGTATTCATAGCTCAGTGGTTCTCCAGCTTTTATGGATGGAGAAGTTAAAAAAATTAAGATAGAAGAGAAAAGAAATTCAATGGAAAAAAGCAAAGAGAGAGAAAATGGGAATTAAAAGAGGACGAACCTTCACTTCCTAAATCATCATTATTCAACGAACCCCATGCTCCAATAATAATATCCAGAAATTGGCTGAATTTTTCTCCCAAACTACGTTGTTCTCTACAATTTTTCGGTCCACATCATTCCTAACGGTTTCCACTTTTTTTTTTTGCTTGTTCAGCTTCTGTTCTAGCATTTTCAGCATCTTTTTTTACTTCTTCAATTGCTTGATCTGCTTTCTTTTTAACTTCAATTACCTCTTGAGAAAGATTTAATCGTGAAGGCTTTACTTTGAAATGTTTTGTAATACTTCTACTAGGCCATAAGCTTTCAAGTACTCGTGTGTATCTTTGCCAAACACTTCTTGAATGATTTGTTCATCCGTTTTCTCATTTGAACCTTGATCTCTTTGCTCCTTCAATTTGTTTATCCCATCATATGCATACACAATATAATTAAGTTAGAAGTTAAAAATTGAGATGGTGGATGGGGACCTTTCTAGACAGCGGGTGCCTAGCTTCCTCATTCCTGCATAATAAATTCGAGGAAGAATCAATACATCAAACTGGCTTTTTCTGTATAATGTAGCTTTCAAGGGAACAGAAAATGCAAATCTAAGTAACAAATAATGATTTAGAAATGCTTAACCATAAATCTAAAGTTTAGCAGATGTGTAAGCTGTAAGGATATCAGAAAGATACAACCTAAACTAAAAAGTAGAGATATGAACTTACAGTAAACACTCATCTAAAATAGTAGTGGCTACATCATCAGCATCTCTTTCATATGGAGGACGAGTACTATTAGCAGGTACAACATTCTTCTCCTTCTTCATCTTCCATCCATTAACTCTCTCTCTTTCCAGGCTATATAACCCAAGGGAGGCACGCCAAATTCTCAGGAAGTATCATCTTTTCTGGTATGAGCTGCAAAAGTACAATTATAAGGAAACAGAAATAAGTATCCAGGGTACATTGGATGCATTATTATAAGTAATGGAATTACACAACTTACATTTTTTTTCCTCCAATAAAGTGCAGTATTAAGTTCATCATTCTGATAAAAATTAGAATCAGCATCCTCCTCAACATCTCCATGAACAGCAGGACTTCACAATCATTCAAAAACACAAGGCCTGCAAATTGGAAATTCACATTCATCACACCCTACAAATGCTTTCCCATTCACTGCTTCAAAGCAGGACACACAATCACAAGTCTACCACAAAACTAACTATTTATATGTGACACTAAAGCAGAGTAGTTCAAAAGCAGACCTTCCATGCCCCTGAAGCAAAGATCTATGAGCGTAAGAACCAAAATAAACCAAACCAATGGTATTCTTTAAGCTTTATGTTCAATAATCTACCGCTACATAACTTCCACAGAAACTTACGATGCATATAGAATTAAAGAAAGAATAAAAATCATATATTTGACAGATAATTAAAAAATAACAGTTTGGAGGGCAATTAGAAAGTAAAAAGGGATACAATAGCACCAAATTTAAATGACCAAAAAAATAACATAATAAATATTAAACACATGGTCTTGAAAATAAGGTTAGCATGAAATTCAATCTGAAGCAACTAGAACACGCTTGAATTTATGAAGCAGTCAAGTCAACTATCCCCTTTATATTGTAGCATGCCATCCATAAAATAAATTCAAAGCAAAGGTCAGTGTCACAATACTTTTTTCTGTATAAAAAGTGGTATTTGTATCATTCAGTGCTTCCAAATTTACATCTCAGTGCATCAAAATGAACCGCATGGACTTAAAAACCTTTAGAGTACGAATCTAGGTTTGCTTGCGCCTCTTTAAAATTGATTTGACATTTAACCCCCTGACTCACTCTCAACCTAGGTGCCTCACTAGAAGTATTCAGAAAATAGTTTTGTAATAGAAACTAATTAACTTCATTATAATTGATACTCTTTCATTCCCAAACAAAAAAAAAAAAAAAAAACTCGTAACATTGAGTAAGACATTACAGCTAGTGCATAGTCTATATTTAGTTTTTCCAACTCAAGGCAAAGTTCTAGATAGATTATAAGGGAAATGTCTTAAGAAATCTAACCTATAATCACATTTAAAATTCTATCTGTTGCTTATTGCATAATATACAAGATCTCTTTAGTAATAGAATGATGAATTCATACATATTTGAGGCAATACGATGAAAACAATATTTTGTAACAGTCATCAGGATGCAAATATGATACAACAGTAATCCGAAAAAGAAAGTACTAATCCGTAGATCAATTTATTAAACTACATATCCATTTTCTGAACCCCTACCTTGTACACACTTTTTTAATTGAAATGGTTGACAAGTAGAAGCGTAATAAATCTATAATACAAAGCATTGGCAGCCTAAAATTATTCGTCCAAAGATATAAGATCATTCTAAAATCAATCATAGCCATGGATTTAATCATTTTAGGGACTAATTTTAATAACTACACTAGAAAGTGTACCTAATTCTTTGATTCCCAAGCTCAATCCCTTAATTATTAATCATTATATGATTTATATTTCTTCTTACCTATAAATAGAGCTATGAGCATTGTCATTCTACTTGATAAAACTAACAATGATCAGATAAATTAAAGAAAAAAAAAAAAAGAATTAAGAGCGACAATACTTATAAAATTAGCTAAACTAACAATCAACATATTAAGAGCGTCTATTTCAAGAAACCAACCAATTATTACAATACTAAAAGCATTCAATATCAAGAAATTACACAAATTCTCCAGATCAAAAACTCAGCAAATGAAAGAAAAAAAAAAATCAAAACCTGAGACGTTCGATTTAGGCGAATTAGGCTTCATCCCAATTGGAAGCAATTCGAACATCAATCAATTTGTGAGCATTCGAGCAAGTGAGCAGCAATCAATTTGGGAAATTCGAGCAGCAATCAATTTGGGAGGATTTTAGGGTTCTTCAGTTTTGAGTGGGGAGGGAGAAACCGACAATAGGCCCCTCATATACGTAGTTGACAAATTGATAATAAGAGGGAATGCCTAACTTGCCCTCTTTGATACTCCATAAGAATTTTTATTTATTTATTATTTTTTTTTTTCACGAGTACTCTAATGCTCCGTAGATACTTAATTATAAACTAGTTATTCGGCCGGGCAATGCCCCGGCGATTCATCATAAATTTATTAATTTAATTAAACTATACTTTTGCCTTGTTTGACATCGAGAGTTTATAGTCCATGTTTTTGTTTTTTTTTACAGATGAGATCTTAAGTACGTAGTTAGTTGTTTGTGTGAGCTAGTTTGGTTTAACTATGACTATAATTTTTTTTTTTTGTTAATATCGAACATATAATAAATCAAATCTTTATAATTTTGATGTAAATATATACTATTAATTATTGCTCGTACTCTATAATTACAATTTTATGAATTGATGCACAAAAAATGGAGTAATGATTAATTTCTTACACATTATACTATTGTGCAATTACTAAGGATTTCCAGGGGAATTTAGATAGGGTGGTTACACATGAAAAGCTTTTCAATCAAATAAAATTATTGTGCAATTATTAAAAAGGAAATTAAATAGAGTAGTGGTTATACATAAAAGTTTTTCAATTAAATTAAGCATTAATACATGGAAGTTAAATCAATGAAGATTTTTCTAAGAAGACTATTGGATCGAGAAATCAAGCAGGAAGGTCAGTCCAACATTAGTACACTTTGATTATGTGGCAAGCTTAAAATATGATGTGTGGCGCAATAATACAAAAAAAGATACATGGCGACATAACACTTTTTACCTTGGAGTTTTAATATATATAAATAAATACTAGATTACTACTCGTGCGACGCACGATTTAAGAAAAATTTATTAATATTATATTATTAATTGATTGATTGCTAAAATATATATCAAATTTTAAAATACATCATTGATACAAAATTAGTTGGGAATTGAAGTGTTTTTGTGATGATTTGCTATCTAGTAGGCATGTAGTAATGACTAATAATAATGTTGGTGAAAATGTTCAACTTATAAAATTTGTTTTTGGAAATGTCACTTTTTGGCTTGAGAATCAAGGAACATTGCATCTAGTTATTTGCACCTATAATACTTTCTCCGTTATTTTTATTATTGCATCATATAGGTTAGACACAATAATTTTGAACTCCCTTTATTTCATAATAGTCACAACACTTCCCGTCAAAAAAAAAAAAAAACACTATAAGTGTTGTACAAAGTTATTGGAAATCTATAGGATAGGATCCAACAAGGGAAATTTTATAATATAAAATATAATTAGTGAAGATATATAATAGCAAGTAGGAGAGAGAACTAAAAAAAAATCGTGTAAGTGAGATTGGTAGGAGAGTGAAATAATAAAATAATAATGGATCCTTACCAAAAAAAAAAAAAAAAAGAAAGTGTAGCAATTACTATAAAACGAATGTAAAAAAAAAGCATTGTGATTATTACGAAACAAAAGGCGTAGTAGGAAAATGAACAAGAGAGAGAAAAATACAAAATTGTTCATGTGATGTGAACATAAACTAATGAATGATTAGTACTTATGACAAAGTAAGAGTATATTGAAAAGGGTGCAATATTTGTGAAACTTGTTTAAAAGGCAATTGGTGTAATATTAAGTTCAACGGAGAGAATTTTTTGATCTGGTGTCTAACCTCTTGGTCGAGCTTCTTTCATCCGCTACTTTTATTATCACTTCCGGTACTGGCGGGCCCAGCACCCCCTGACCAAACAAAAAACCTGAAAGCTCCAATCGAAAGGAACCGCGCGTAGGCTAGAAAGACGAATCGATTTGAGATACCCATGGTCCTTTCTGTCCTATAAAAAATTGAGAGAGATTAAAAAAAGTATTCATGAATGATTTTTGAATGAGAAATGACTAGAAAGGGAGGGATTGGAGAATAAGGTTGAGAGAAGGAAGTGGAAGGGGTCATTAAGTATATTTTCATTGAAAAAAAACAATCTTGGCAATATATTGGAGAGTTATAGATCTTATTAAATAAAAGATAACGGTGTAGATTACAATGTTATTATAGCAGCCACAAAATTAGTGTATAAATATAGCCTTACAAAACTATCCTAATTAGAAAATGTATAGAATTTTTGTAAGTGTAGTTATATTATCTAAAATGACTATGTTTATTACTACGTGTAATATTATTAGAAAATGGTGTCACTAATCTATCCTTACATTTTTACGGAACATTAATAAAATTTAGAAAAAAAAAAATGTATCTATAAGATGGAAACAGATTGTACATGAGGTTTTTTTTTATTTTTTTTATTGAATTTGGATAACAAATTTTGTAAAACCTGTAACAGAATGAATCAAGAAACGATTAAAGAATGGGTAACTAACCCAAGAAAGTAGTTTTTTTTTTTTTTTTTTTTTTTTTTTTTTTTTTTTTTTTATTTTCCTTTATTTTTAGAATCAACCGACATCAATTGATGACCACCTCTATAAAAGGTCCAGTCTTCGGTTTCATTCTGCCTTAGAACAATCAATCATATCCTTTTTTCTTCTACTCGTTGGAATCAAACCAAAACTCTACTACTATATTGCTTCTTCCTCAATATAATCCAGAAATCATGGAGAAGAACAGAAACCAAGAAGTTGATGAACTAAATCTTTCCCTTTCTATTTCTCTTCCATCACACCATCCAAACGATAACCCTACTACTGCACTTCCAAGAACGACTACTGTTGATGCTGCGCTCTCTCTTGCACTTCCTACTACGACTACGGTTGATGCTGCGCTCTCTCTCGCACTTCCTACTACGACTACGGCTGATACTGCGCTCTCTCTCGCACTTCCTACTACGACTACGGCTGATGCTGCGCTCTCTCTCGCACTTCCTACTACGACTACGGTTGATACTGCGCTCTCTCTCGCACTTCCTACTAAGACTACGAATGGTGCTGCGCTCTCTCTCGAACTTCCTACTACGACTACGGATGATGAACGCGTCAAGTTGATCCCTTCAATGAAGTTCTTGGAAGGACAAGGAATAAAAAGTGTAATAGGTCATATCGAGTGCCTGAAATGCAAGAAACACACCGAAATTACGTACGACATAGAGAAAAAATTTAAGAAACTTAAACCTTTAATAAAAGCCAAGAATGATAGTTTTTCGTTGTTGGTACATGGCAGGATGCATGAAGTTTGCGGTAATTGTGGATATGGAACTACTACTAATCCCGTCAAACTTGACCAAGAAAAACAACCCATGGATTGGCTGTTTTTATTTTTGGGAATGTTTCTTAATCACTGTAAGGTCAACGAACTCAAAGATGTTCTCAAAAGCACCAACACTTTGGATGATAAGTTTTTTCTGGGAATCAAAAAACCTGATTTGGTTTTCAAGCTTTACGAAGAATTTCTTCACCAATTTACTTCGACCTAATTGGTTAGTGTAATATAATTAGTGATCATGATTGATATGATGCTTTGATAATCTCGTCTTTAATTTCATTAGTACTAGTCTATTTTTCATGTAATGCGTCTAGTAGTATAGTAAAATTGGTGTTATTGTAATTGTTGGTTTGTTTTTGATTAATAATAAAATTTCATTTTCATTTCCAATCGAAATTATTAGTTAAGCTAAATAATAACTATAAAAACGAGATAACCAGCAAACTAAGTTAACTAACTTGAAGAAATTCCAAGATCCTTATCTGTCAGCTAGTTAGGTAGTTAATGATTGAAGTTAGTTATTGTTAGATTGAATTAACCGTGTCAGCTTATGAGCAACGTAACATTTTATAAAAGTAAGAAGATCGACAAAGTTTATTATTAACTCACTTTTTATAACTCAAAATTAAAATAATTCGTATATATTAATACACTTTCTATATTAATACACCTTCTATATATGTATTAATACACCTTCTAAATCTAGAAGTAACACTCCATAGTAATGCTAATGTATGTATAATTTTTGTTGCCTATAAAAAATTAGAAAAATACACTTTAAAAATCCCGACTATTGCCGATCTACTTCTAATAATCCTAACTAAGGTTTATTTTTTTTTTATAATAATCCTAATTATGCCCTTAGTTTGCCTCTAATAGTCCAAACCGGTAAACACGAAGTCAATGACTTGTTGTCAGGGGCGGAGGTACGGGAGGGGCCGGTGGAGGCCTGGCCTCCCCAGCCCATCATGGCAGCCTAGGTTTTTTAATTGTTGGCACCCATAAGTTTTATGCATAAATGTAAATGTTAGCTCAAAATAAAAGCAAAGTTGGGTTGCTTAGTTGGTTTGAGGATGATATGATAATGTTTTGTTGGCATGAGATCAAGGGATCAATCCTTCATCTATAGGTTTTTTTACTTACTATCATTTTAAGTATATATATTTTGATTTTAAGGTTTTTTTGTTTTTTTAAAAAAAATATATATACATATGAAAATAATGTGATCTCTTCTACTTCTTCTCAAAGCCATTTCTTTCCTATTTTTCCAACTAACTTTTTATTATAACTAGAGTGTACCCGTGCAAAATGCATGCGAGATATATTATATTAGAAAGATTTTAAATATATACTATAAGAAAAAATATTCTAAGAATACGGGAAGTTGATTTTAATGTTGTAACTTAGACTCTGTTCTTTTGAGCTGTTGTGGACTTGTGTTCTGCTGGACTTTGCGTAGCTATGCTCTACTGAATATTATTAATTTGTTGACACTTGGTTTTCCCTGCTAATTGCTATGCTGAAATCTTATGTTCTTTGCCCTGTTCAAAAGCTTAAAAGAACAGGGTCGATCTACTCTTAGATGTCGGTGGCCACGCAATGTGGCAAGTAATTATGGGGTTTACTTTGTCAAAGCTATAGAGGTTACCGGGGTAACTTGGTTCAGTGATGTAAGAGTTACTCTGTTCTTTTGCAAACAGTTTTTCGATGAGACCAGTTTCGCAAAAAACGTGTTGTATTTTTTTTTTGGTTGTGGCTTTTAGAGAAGTCGAAGTTGTTTGGAGGGTAGTTCCTAAAAAATACATATAATCAAATGGTTGGGGATTTTGAGTGTTATGGTGAATTGTTGATAAATGAACTATATACTTGTGGTACTGCATGTCATCTGTTTCGGGGTTTTCTGATGTCCTGCGGGAGAGTTACAATTCCGAGACTGGAACCGGACGCCTGTACCTGCAAAATAACGGAGACTCCTGAGAGCTCCGCCTCCAACGGTCAAGTTAGTACCTGATTAAGGAGTAATTAATACGGAAATTAAAGTAATAAGACCTCTCTAGGTGAGAGTGTTTAATGTTGGTAATCTGCTTTGTTAGCGAGATTAGCCGGTTATTAGTGTTCCGTAATGTTTCTGTTCTTCTCTGTTCTTCAGGTGAGATTAATTGCTTGATCAATTGCTCTCTCAATTGCTTGAT